TAATATAGATAGTTACTGATGGCCAGGCATGGCGGCTCACACCTGTAATCCCAGCACTTTGGGAGGCCAAGGTGGGCAGATCACAAAGTCAGGAGTTCAAGACCAGCCTGGCCAACATAGTAAAACCCCATCTCTACTAAACATGCAAAACTTAGCCAGGCATAGTGGCAGGTGCCTGTGGTCTCAGCTACTTGGGAGGCTGAGGCAGGAGAATCACTTGAACCCAGGAGGCAGAGGTTGCAGTGAGCCAAGATTGTGCCACTGCACTCTAGCCTGGGTGACCAACCAAGACTCTGTCTCAAAAAAAAAAAGTGTAGTTATTGATGTCATTCAAGACCAGCCCGAGCAATATAGTGAGACCTCATCCCTACAAAAAATTTTAAAAATGAGCCAAGGGTCGTGGCATGCGCCTATAGTCCCAGCCATTCAGGAGGCTGATGTCGGAGATCACTTGAGCCTGGGAGCCAGAGGTAGCACTGAGCTGTGATCATGCCACTGCATTCTATTGTGGGTGACAGAGTGATACCCTGTCTCTAAATAATAATAATAATAATACCAACACTATAATCAAAACACTGAGTGAAGTTTTAAATTTCTTTGTAGTTCTTTATGTCCACAGAGACTATCCTACAAAAGATATGCAATCAGTGTGTTGAGTTAAAGGAACTTGAAATAATTCTTTCTCTGGTGTTTATATTATCAATTAAATATATAGTTAGGTCAATTTGATGTGTTTTCACTTCAGGGTTTGCTTTTTTGTCATTTCCATTTAATTTTACTTTTTGATAAGATACAGCATAAGAGAGTCACATAGTGATAAGACAGAATCAATAATAAGATGTAGCCCTTTAATGCCACCAGAAATCTAGAGAGACAAATAAGCCAGGGTTTTATTCAGTACCTGAGTGATCTCCATCCAGGGTCTGCTTGAAGCCCCAGTCCCTCTCTGACACCATGAGGTTCCCTTGGCTACCTGTCAGCCTCCTGGGGACTCCCATGGACACATCTGAGCTGTAGACAGCAATCTTCCTCTCTCACTGCAGCTTCAAGATGATCTGGTATTCTGCTGGGAAATTTTGCATGGTGTTCTCAAACCAGTATTTACCATCCCAGTAATAGGACCACCTTTTGCGATTGTCTGCCCCAAAACCAAACAAGGATACCTGGGAGATGGGATAAGACAAGAGATGGTGGTTGGGTAACAGGCTGGGTCCTGCTGTGCCCACATGCACGTGTAGCATGACTTCAGCACCACTCACTCAACCCCTAATGTGCCAGGCTTCCTCTTGGAGCTGGGAGGAGAATGGAGTTCACCTTCTCCAGGAAAGACAGACTCTAAATACTCATAGTGACCGCAGAGCCCAGAAAAGAGAGCATCAACTAGTTGATGGGAAGAGAGGATTGCCCTGGGAGACAAGGGAAGGACATTCCAGGCAGAGGGAGCAGGGTGTGAGAAGGTGTGAGGCAACTGGTGTGTCTGGGGAACCCCAAGAAGCCCAGTGTGGGAGTTTGGGAGAGAGGAGAGAGGTCAGATCATGCAGGGTGTTGGAAGCCAGGCAGAAAATTTGAGATTTAGTGGGAAGTCCCTGGGAAGACAGAAATGTTGAGTGGCAGAGGAGTGAATGTCTATGAGTTGCAGGAGGGATCTTACCTGGTCACAGGTGTGCAAGGCATAGAACAGAGCCACAAACCCCAAGGATAGATACTGACCATAGTTCTCCATCCAACTTTCCTGGATATACCTGAGGAAGGAGGCTGATCGCCAGCACCTAGGAAGATAGAGAAGGGAGCTGACCTGAAGCCTGTCCCTTGGCTACTCACTGTCATGTTGTCTTACCACTTTCCACTTTCCTTTCTGGGGCCCTCACCTGATTTTTGCTGTCTTTGGTTCCACCAGGAACTTGTACCATCTGAAATCTAAAAAGAAATTGAGGTTTGGGAGTATTTCAGAGTCATGTGACAAACAGCATTCAAGCTGAAGTAAGCCTTGGGGGTGCCCCAGTCTCCAGCCAGGGTCTCTTTGGAGTCGCCTCTGTCACTCCCTACAGTAACCTCCCTCCTGACATACCCAGGGTTTCTTTGCTTCCACATGCTTGTCTGTTTATGCAGTATACTTATGAACCACTCCAGACCAGATGAAGTCAATGAAAGCAGCAGCAGTTGGGTGCCAGGGTCCTAAGGGCTGGCAATCCCAGGGTACCTAATACGAATAGTGGTCCTGTTCCCCACATCTGCCTCAAAGCCTTGGACAGGGGCCTGGTTCATCCTGAAAAGGAAGCAAGGATGGTCATTTAGAGGAGGAAGAGGCTTCGGCTTGGCCTTGGTCTCCACCTCCCACCCTGCGCCCACCTGAGGACCATGTCATGTTGGTTAGTCCTGAAGCCGAGGCCAGAGCCCCGTAGAGACCTTGAGTTTCCCACCACTGCACAGACCCAGCAGTTGGACACCACGTGGCCCAGTAGGCACGGGGGAGGTACTTTAAGCAGCTGCTAAACATGCAAAACTTAGCCAGGCATAGTGGCAGGTGCCTGTGGTCTCAGCTACTTGGGAGGCTGAGGCAGGAGAATCACTTGAACCCAGGAGGCAGAGGTTGCAGTGAGCCAAGATTGTGCCACTGCACTCTAGCCTGGGTGACCAACCAAGACTCTGTCTCAAAAAAAAAAAATGTAGTTATCGATGTCATTCAAGACCAGCCCGAGCAATATAGTGAGACCTCATCTCTACAAAAAATTTTAAAAATTAGCCAAGGGTCGTGGCATGCGCCTATAGTCCCAGCCATTCAGGAGGCTGATGTCGGAGATCACTTGAGCCTGGGAGCCAGAGGTAGCACTTCTCTTACTTGGCTCCCTCAAGTCCTTAGAAGCATAGGAGGGAGGAATTTAGAGGCCTAACCCTGGGGCCATGATGGAGAGATGTCTAGGACCTGGGGTTGGGGCAGAGACTGGACAAAGATCAACTTTGGGCACTGACCAGCCACAGTATCAGAGAATCATTGGACACGGGATCTTGTGGCCTCTGTAGGGGTTCAACAGTGCTGTCGAAGCATCTGTCAAACCAGTCAGACTCGCCAGGCATATGGAGGCAGGCAGAGCACGTCTGGACCTCAGATGAGCAGTTGCATTTTCTGGAAAAGTTGCTGGGACCGTGGCAGATTCCCGGGTGTATTTTGGCCATATTACAGAGGTCGTTCTGGCTGGAGTGCTGGTGTAGGAAGGAGGTGATCAGCCACAATGAAAGCACATAGGGTGCTCGCTTCAGCAGCACATATACTAAAATTGGAACGGTACAGAGAAGATTAGCATGCTCAAGGTCGATGACGGGAGAGAGAGAATGACAGCATTACCCAGAACGCCATGGAGGACCAGAGTGCCACGGCCAGGACTCCCAAGATGGCTGGGGAGGCTACACCTCCGACAAGAGGATGAGCGAGGGCCAGGGACTGCCTCCTCCCCCAGATGTGACTCGGGGGACCATGGCCAAAGAGAGGATGAACGGGCATGGCAGGGCATGGCTGACGGGGGCATGATGGACAGGGATCAAAAGAGGTGGCAAGGTGGTGAGAGAAGCATGTCCAGTCACTCCAGGCCTGGCCACAGGATGAAACGGAGAGGAATGTTTCATTGTGGGGTGTGCTTCGTCTGGCGCTGCCCGAGGGTTCAAAGACCTAAGAGGGAATGGCAGGGGATAAAGAAAGACGTACAGACAGACATATATAAAGCTGGACCAGGCAGTCCGAAAAGCTGATGGTGTCAGTCTCTTTGGCCCTGACCTGCCTCAGAGTACTTTATTTTATATGTTTACAAAGTACATAGCAGAGGGAGGGTGTAGTCACTTAGAACAGTCTGTGGTTATAATTCTCATACTTTAATTAACGTACTTCAGTTAACAACTACCTTGCAGTAAGGTTAGTGAGAGCTGGTTATCTTTTTCTAGGCCTCTCTGCTCTTCTCTGAGACATACACATTCCCCTATTATGGTTTCGCTTCTCTGGGGTTCACCCAAAGTTGACAGCAGCCTTGCCGCTGATCCCCCCAGAGCGGGTGGGCTACTCTGGCTCTCTACACCTCCCCCTTAACTGTAAATATAAATGTAAAGAAAATTGGCACAGCAGAAATCATTGCTGTTATTAATATGTAAGGTGCAGTACATTGAGCAGACTACACAGGAATTTTATGTTTAAGTTGTATTTAATAGCAAGCATCACCTTCACAATGAAGGCAAGTTAGATCTACAGTATCGTGGGGTAACGCTCAGAGCCTCAGGAGGGATTGCCAGCTGGGCACATCCCTGATGTTTGTTGGCCTTGCTGTGACTGTGTTTGTCTTAGGTCATTCTCCTATGAGCATCTTACCCGTCATTGACTACTCAATTATTTTTTTAGGTCCAGTATTACGATCGACACCGTTTTTAGAGGCTTAATGGTTTTGTAAATGATATTAGACCACACGTCACTGAAGAGCATGTGTACCCACATTCCTTACTTCAGCTTCAGTCTGTAACTTTTGTTAGGACTGATATTCTGTGTGTCTTTGTTTTGTACAAACACCTCTAATTTTAATACCTATTTTGCTGTCTATAATTTTTAATAATGCAGTTTAGCTTGTAAGTTTTTACTGTTTAGATTTCTGCAAATATAGACTGTTGCATATAACAAAAACAGAATAAACAGCCAGAAGGCATGTCTCAGAATTTCAAAAGGATTAAATCCCTGTCATTGACCCAATATCTTTTTTGCTATTTTTGTAGGGTCCTTTATATCAAGGTGTGCCTGTTGTATTTTATCAATTTTCTGATGTAATTTTTTTTTTTTTTTAAAGACGGGGTTTCACCATGTTGGTCAGGCTGGTCTTGAACTCCCAACCTCAGGTGATCCGCCTGCCTTGGCCTCCAAAGTGCTTGGATTACAGGCGTGAGCCACCATGCCTGGCCTTCTGATGTAATTTAATTAAGTCACTAGTTAAATTATAACGACCTTGAGCTCCACAAAGTTGTTTTTTAACTGTTTTTCATTTCTATTTTGTATAATTTCAAATTACAGGGGTCTCACAGATAGCAATATAATTACAGTGACATCTAAGTCTTTGTCTTAACCTTATCATCTCCAGTTCATTTTTTATAAACACAGTGGCTGTCTCAAGAGCTGCCAGTCTGGCCTCTAACCTCCGATCAATATTCTCCCGAGTGGCCATACGTTGAGAAACATTTGATGTCAATTGGTTTACATAATGGGCTGTTTGAGTAGTTTGGGAAAGTGAAAAGGCAGGAACTGTAGAACTGGCAATAATTTGTATCAGTGTTACAATACCCAAAATCAATAATCTCCGTGCTCTCCTACATGAAACAACATTTTTTTCATGTGTTGTGACACTACCAAACCCCTATTCTCATACCACTCTTGTTAAATTGACAGGAATCATCACAGGAATCATCACATATACAGGCTGCTTTAACAGCAGTACTTTGTCCCTTATTGTAAGTATTATTATACACAATAAGTAAGATTACAGTTTCTACAAGACACATAAAATTTCCCTCCATATTGGGTTACATTGACCTCCCCTGTTACAGTCACATAAGGGCTAGGAACACAAGCCTTTAGTCCATACATGTCATCTGTAAATATGCTGGAAAAATCGACATAGTCCATAGCAGCGACTAGACGCCACAGTTCCTTTTGCAAAGTCCCATGGTTTGTTGTTAGAACATTACTGACGAACACTCTGAATGACATGTCTTCTGGGTACGCAGCACAATTAACTGTATTGTGAGACGGCTCACACATTGTCCAGGGAGCACACGAGCACAGTCCTTCCACTCCAGAAAGCCTTTAAATTGTATCCCAGTCTTACAGTGGCGATATTTCATGGGGGGGGTGTATACCTGAAATGTCACGCATGTTGTTTGGAAACCCCCATTTACTAATCTTGGACTGGTAACGAGAAAGGTTCCAAGGTCCTGAAAGACTGGCTACCCTAATAGTGGCTGCTGTCGTTTTATTTTTTCGTGTCATGTTTATACAACCTGTTTGCTCCATCATGGAGACACATAAAGGAGGGTCAGCGGTCCATCCAGAGTAATTATAATTTCCATAGTAGGAGGAGTGCTCCGGAGCTCCACCTCTTCCTCCAAGTATCCGAGTGTCATTTACTAACACAGGAACTGATTGACTTCCCCAGGTCACTGGCTGTAAAACTGGGACAAATGCCCAGCACCCCTCTGCTCCCTCATAGCACACCTGGCATGCTATAATTGTCATCATAGCCACGAACATAATTTCAGGAGTCATCTGGGGGCCTCGGCCGGTGATTGTTGCTGCAGCTCGCTGAGTCAGTTGTTTGATCTGTCCCCAGATTGTTGGCGAGACTCTCACCATTTTGTGGGTTTTTTTTTTTCTCAGCCCCCTCTTTTTCTCTTTTAGTTTTAGCCTCCTCGAGGGTATCACCAATTCCTGCTGGTCCCTGGCTGTGCCGAATGCAGTGGACGTGACTGGACAACTGGCTCGTTCTGGAAAAACACAAACATAACATCATAGTAGGATCTGGTACTTTCCAACGTCCCGTTTGGAGGTCCTTACACCGGACCATGCCTTAGGTATTTCCCTGGTGGCAAAGTGCCTATCTGCGGGAAAATGTCCAGATTCATCACAGTTTAAAAAATTAAGGGTATACAGTGCAAGAGAAACTCGGATAGCTGGAGTTCCTCTATAATTTTCCCTCTCTCCTTTTTCAGTTTGAGTTCTGAGAGTGCACTCAACAATAGCTTGACCTGTTGGATTATATGGAATGCCTGTAGCATGTACAATAGTACAAGTTGCACAAAATTGAGTAACATAGCAGAAATACAGGCAGGACCATTATCTGTTTTAAGACAAAGAGGCAGACCAAGGGTAGCAAAGGCGGCAAGGCAAAAATTAATTACGTTTGGCCGCTTGCCCTGAGAGCGGTTGGGTGAAAATGAAACAAGAGTAAGTATCCACCAGCACATGTAACTATTGCAAAGGGCCAAAAGAGGGCAAATGAGTAACATCCATTTGCCACAAAGCTTTCAGCTTAAGAGCTCGGGGATTTACAGCTGAGTTTTGAACTGGGAGGAAAGTTTGGCAGGCAGAGCAAGTTTCAACAAGCTCTCTGGTAAGTGAAAACCGTTCGTGCAGAGCACTGGTGTTGTGATGAGATGTTGTATGGGATCCTTGTGTCTGGGAAATAAGTGAGCCCACTAGACGGGTGGAGACAAGACTGTCCACAGTTGCATTGCCTTCTGTCAGAGGACCTGGGAGATCCTAGTGTGATCTGATATGTCTAATAAATAGTGGATACTTTCGCTGGTGGAGCATGCACCATAGAATTGTAAACATTTGAAAAATCTCTTGAGGCAGAGGCAATGAGAGTCGTTGCTAAATGTTGAATGGCTCCCACCACATACTTGCTGTCTGGGTAGATATTAACTGCCTGTGAGTGATCTCTGAGAACCATATAAACAGCGTAAAGCTCGACTCACTGAGCAGAAGTAAATGGGGTGGCCTCCACCTGAGAGCTGCTTGCCGTAAGTGGCTTTTTTTTAACGGCTGTCGTCAGTAAACACTAATTGAGCTAAAGGAACTGGCTGTTTGGACAATTTTAGGAAAAATGAACGGATGTTGTTGTGTAAATGAAAGTATTTTAGAGGAAGGATAATGACCTACGATCTGTCCTGTAAAATTTGCAAAGGCTAGTCCTCAGTCTTGAGCAAATTGTCATAGCCAGGATTGTTGAGTGGTGTTATATGGCACAATGACTGTATTGGGGTCTCGACCAAAGATCTAATAGCATCGCTCTCTACCCTTAGCTATCAGAGAAGAAACTGCTGAATAGTAAGGTTTAAAGACTTAGGTGGGGTGTCAGCCAAATGTAACCACTGGGAGTCTTTTTGCCACAGCACTGTAGTGGGTGTATGAGCAGTCTGTAAATAATTAGATCTAAGGGAAGTTGTGGGTTATTGCGAGTTAACTGAGCCTGAGCTATGGCTTCTTTCACCTGTATAAGAACTAATTTTGCTAGTTCAGTTAAAGTTCTAGAGGAGGTGGGGTCAGGATCACCTGGCAAAATTGTAAAAAGTGGTGGTAATTGGCCAGCAATCAACTTTAGCATAGGGCAAAGCCAATTAATGCCTCCAAGGAGTTTTTGAAAATCATTTAAAGTATGTAAACAGTCCCAGTGAATTTGCAGCCTCTGAGGATGAATAGTGTGACCAGAAATGATTGTTCCTAGATACTTAAAAGGAGCCAATTTTTTTTCTTTTTTTTATTGCATTTTAGGTTTTGGGGTACATGTGAAGAACATGCAAGATAGTTGCATAGGTACACACTTGGCAGTGTGATTTGCTGCCTTCCTCCCCTTCACGTATATCTGGCATTTCTCCCCATGCTATCTCTTCCCAACTCCCCACCCCGCGCTGTCCCTCCCCTATTCCCCCCAACAGACCCCGGTGTGTAGTGCTCCCCTCCCTGTGTCCATGTGTTCTCATTGTTCAACACCCGCCTATGAGTGAGAACATGTGGTATTTCATTTTCTGTTCTTGTGTCAGTTTGCTGAGAATGATGTTCTCCAGGTTCATCCATGTCCCTACAAAGGACACGAACTCATCGTTTTTGATGGCTGCATAATATTCCATGGTGTATATGTGCAACATTTTCCCTGTCCAGTCTATCATTGATGGGCATTTGGGTTGATTCCATTTACTCAACTGCTAAACAGTGCTGCAATGAACATTCGTGTGCATGTGTCCTTACAGTAGAACGATTTATAATCCTTTGGATATATACCCAGTAATGGGATTGCTGGGACAAATGGAATTCCTATTTCTAGGTCCTTGAGGAATCGCCACACTGTCTTCCACAATGGTTGAACTAATTTACACTCCCACCAGCAGTGTAAAAGTGTTCCTATTTCTCCACATCCTCTCCAGCATCTGTTGTCTCCAGATTTTTTTTTTTTTTTTTGAGATGGAGTTTCACTGTTGTTACCCAGACTGGGGTGCAATGGCATGATCTTGGCTCACCGCAACCTCTGCCTCCTGAGTTCAAGCAATTCTCCTGCCTCAGCCTCCCGAGTAGCTGGGACTACAGGCGTGCACCACCATGCCCAGCTAATTTTTGTATTTTTAGTAGAGACGGGGTTTCATCTTGTTGGCCAGGATGGTCTCGATCTCTTGACCTCGCGATCCACCCGCCTCGGCCTCCCAAAGTGCTGGGATTATAGGCATGAGCCACTGCGCCCGGCCGTTTCCAGATTTTTAAATGATCGCCATTCTAACTGGCATGAGATGGTATCTCAATGTAGTTTTTTGATTTGCATTTCTCTAATGACCAGTGATGATGAGCATTTTTTTCATATGTTTGTTGGCCTCATGTATGTCTTCTTTTGTAAAGTGTCTGTTCATATCCTTTGCCCACTTTTGAATGGGCTTGTTTATTTTTTTCTCGTAAATCTGTTTTAGTTCTTTGTAAATTCTGGATATCAGCCCTTTGTCAGATGCGTAAACTGACAAAAATTTTTTCCCATTTATTGGTTGCCAATTCACTCTAATGACTGTTTCTTTTGCCGTGCAGAAGCTGTGGAGTTTGATTAGGTCCCATTTGTCTATTTTGGCTTTTGTTGCCAATGCTTTTGGTGTTTTGGTCATGAAGTCCTTGCCTACTCCTATGTCCTGAATGGTTTTGCCTAGATTTTCTTCTAGGGTTTTTATGGTGTTGGGTCTTATGTTTAAGTCTTTAATCCATCTGGAATTAATTTTAGTGTAAGGTGTCAGGAAGGGGTCCAGTTTCTGCTTTCTGCACATGGCTAGCCAGTTTTCCCAACACCATTTATTAAACAGGGACTCCTTTCCCCATTGCTTGTTTTTGTCAGGTTTGTCAAAGATCAGATGGTTGTAGATATGCTATGTTGCCTCCAAGGCCTCTGTTCTGTTCCATTGGTCTATATCTCTGTTTTGGTACCAATACCATGCTGTTTTGATTACTGTAGACTTGTTGTATAGTTTGAATTCTGGTAGTATGATGCCTCCCACTGTGTCCTTTTTGCTTAGAATTGACTTGGCTATGCGGGCTCTCTTTGTTCCATATGAAGTTTAAGGTGTTTTTTTCCAGTTCTGTGAAGAAGGTCATTGGTAGCTTAATGGGGATACTGTTGAATCTTTTAATTACTTTGGGCAGTATGGCCATTTTCACAATATTGATTCTTCCTAACCATGAACATGGAATGTTTCTCCATCTGTTTGTGTCCTCTCTTATTTCATTGATCAGTGGTTTGTAGTTCTCCTTGAAGAGATCCTTTACGTTCCTTGTTTGTTGTATTCCTAGGTATTTTATTCTCTTTGTAGCAATTGTGAATGGCAGTTCATTCTTGATTTGGCTCTCTTTAAGTCTGTTATTAGTGTATAGGAACGCTTGTGATTTTTGCACGTTGATTTTATATCCTGAGACTTTGCTAAAGTTGCTTATCAGTTTCAGGAGATTTTGGGCTGAGGCGATGGGGTCTTCTAGATATACAATCATGTCATCTGCAAATAGACAATCTGACTTCCTCCTTTCCTATTTGAATACCCTTTCTTTCTTTTTCTTGCCTGATTACTCTGGCTAGAACTTCTAGTACTATATTGAATAGGAGTAGTGAGAGAGGGCATCCTTGTCTAGTGCCAGATTTCAAAGGGAATGCTTCCAGTTTTTGCCCATTCAATATGATATTGGCTGTTGGTTTGTCATAAATAGCTTTTATTATTTTGAGATACGTTCCATCAATACCTAGTTTATTGAGGGTTTTTAGCATAAAGGGCTGTTGAATTTTGTCAAAGGCCTTCTCTGTATCAATTGAGATAATCATGTGGTTTTTGTTTTTGGTTCTGTTTATGTGGTGGATTACATTTATAGACTTCCATATGTTGAACCAGCCTTGCATCCCTGGGATGAATCCTACTTGATCGTGATGAATAAGTTTTTTGATGTGCTGTTGCAATTGGCTTGCCAGTATTTTATTGAAGATTTTTGCATCTATGTTCATCATGGATATTGGCCTGAAGTTTTCTTTTCTTGTTGAGTCTCTGCCAGGTTTTGGTATCAGGATGATGTTGGTCTCATAAAATGATTTGGGAAGGATTCCCTCTTTTTGGATTATTTGGAATAGTTTCAGAAGGAATGGTATCAGCTCCTCTTTGTATGTCTGGTAGAATTCAGCTGTGATCCCGTCTGGACCTGGGCTTTTTTTTGGGTGGTAGGCTCTTAATTGCTGCCTCAACTTCAGACCTTGTTATTGGTCTATTCAGGGTTTCGACTTCTTCCTGGTTTAGGCTTGGGAGGAGGCAAGTGTCCAGGAATTTATCCATTTCTTCCAGGTTTACTAGTTTATGTGCATAGAGTTGTTTGTAATAATCTCTGATGATGGTTTGAATTTTTGTGGAATCTGTGGTGATATCCCCTTTATCATTTTTATTGCTACAATTTGGTTATTCTCTCTTTTCTTTTTTATTAATCTGGCTAGTGGTCTATTTTGTTGATCTTTTCGAAAAACCAGCTCCTGGATTTATTAATTTTTTGAAAGGTTTTTTGTCTCTCTATCTCCTTCAGTTCTGCTCTGATCTTAGTTATTTCTTGTCTTCTGCTAGGTTTTGAGTTCTTTTGATCTTGCTCCTCTAGCTCTTTCCATTTTGATGATAGGGTGTCAATTTTAGGGTGTCAGTTGGCTCTAAAGGAGCCAATTTTTACACTTTTTTTGGTACTGTCATCAGACCAGACTGAGTAAGGGCCAAGTCCAAGTCCCCAAAAATTTGTCTTAAAGTTTTTTCAGATGAATGTCCCACAAGAATATCATCCATATAATGAATGCTGTATGCTGGTTTATATTTTTGTCTAGTAGATTTTAAAGTAACTGTCACAAAGGACTGACACAGACTTGGGCTGTAGCCATCTCTGGAGGAAGCTCTTGTCAACAAACTGTTTAACAGGTGCTTGAACATTTGGGGAAGGTTCCAAGAATGTGCAAAATATGCCCAGTCGTCTGGATGTAAGGGGATGGTAAAAAAGGCATCTTTAAGATCCAGAACCAAAAGGTGATAATCTAATGGAATAGCAGCTGCAGTGGGTAAACCTGGTTGCAGAGCACCCAGAGGCTGCATTGTGGCATTAATGGCGCGAGACTCTTACAGTAACCTCCATGTGTCTGGACTAAAACTTCACCTGTGTAATTAGTATTTATAACTCCAGGCAGTACTAAAAAATCTTCTGAAGTAAGACCACTACGCCCAACAACCAGCCCCCACAGTTTCAGGGGCAGTGGCCCCCTATCACCGCCCTGCACTCCCAGGTAAAATGTCCATTTTTGCCACACTGAAAACAAGTTCTAGATTTCTTTTTAGGACATTGTCCTGGAAGTTTACCCTGAAGAGTGGAGGCTAAAGTCAATTTTTGGACATATGCCAGACCGACATCTGCACAAAGGCAAATGAAGTCATTTAGAGTAGCCGTAGTCTTGTAAGTTCACAAAATGGCTTGGCATGTGTTGTTGGCATTTTTAAAAGCCATTTGCTTCGCTAACACATTGTTGGTTGTTGGGTCAGCTATAAGCCATCCTACTGCCTGAAGCAGGCAGGCAATGAAGTCTGCATATGGTTCCTCTGGTCCCTGGACAATTTTACTGAGTTTTTGGGACTTTTCACCTTTGGCTGGAAGAGACTTCCTTGTCTGTGCAGTACAAATATTTATTTGTCAATAAGCCTTTAAAGGATAGCCAAGCTGATTTTGTAAGGGCTCAAAGTTTTTATTACTCACTAACATATCCATAGATACATCCACATCATGAGCTGTACTGTGCTCAGCCTGCTGACTACATCTATCATGGTAATCATATTCCCATCTTAGATAATCTCTCGGATCCAAGCATGCTTTTGCAAGGTTATACCAATCCGTAGGGGCCAAGGCATCATTGGCCAAGGCGTCCGAGAGAGTTATCACAAATGGGGAAGTAGGTCCATAAGAGGCTGAAGCTATTTTTAAACCTCTGTGTAATTTAAAAGACAAAAGATCATGCTGTCTCAGCATCTGTCCTGGATTATTAGGGTCTGGGCATACAAGCATGGGGCAAACCTGAAACCCCTCCACATCCTCTCCTTGTGCCATCACCCTATGTAAAGCAGCCTGCAGCGGGGAGATCTTAAAAGGAGTTATATTATGTCCCTTGCATGAGCCTTCTGGGCTTTGGGTCAGTAAAATTAAGAGCTGCAAACGTTTGAGGCCAATGGTCCTGCTTCTCTCTAGTTATTTCATCCTCTAATTTTTGTTGATACTTTGGGGGCAGAGGCTCTTCTGAGCTGTCTCCATCACCCTCCTCCTCAAAAGAGGAGGCAGTTTCAAGTAAGACTTGGGGTGGCAGAGGGAAGTCCAGAGGTAGCGCAGAAGGCTCGGCTGCCTGGGTATCTTCACTTGTCTCCTGGCCTTTAGGAGATGCCGAGATAGCCTGGACTCCCCTCAGTGTGTTATAAAGAGCAGTAATACAGTTCTGTTTGTCTGAATATCCTGAAGTTAAATGATAATAAAATATTGTGCCAACACAATAAAGAAAATTACAGTTTATTTTATTTTTTTTTTTTTGAAAAGTCCAGAAGAGACAAATTTATAGAGACAAAGTAGACTCATTTTTTTCTTTAGGGAAAAAGAGAAAAAGAAGGGGAAAAAAAGAAAAAGAGGGAAAAAGGAATATTACTTCATTCCTAAAATGGGTTTCAATAATGGCCGATCAATATTTTGAGTGTTTAAAGTGGTTAATGCATATTTTATATGTTTAAAATGGAGACCTCTATTGTGTTTATTTGTTCTGGCTCTGAGTTCAAATCCTGGATATCGTTATCAATTTGTTGTCTCGTTGAATCTAAATCTCACTATGTGTCTTATGTATCTGGGTGTTATCTTATGTATCTGGGTGTTAAGATCTCTTATTGTTACATTAATCCTTTTACCCTTGTATCCTTATAGCTTTGAAATCTATTTTGTCAAATGTGAAAATTGCAACTCCTGCTTTTTATTTATTTATTTTTGCTCTCCATTTGGTTGGTACGTTTTTTTTTTTTCCAACCCTTTATTTTGAGTCTATGTATATCTTTGGATATACCGTTGGATTTTGTCTGTATCTTTTGATTGGGAGATTTGGTTGATTTAACTTTAGGGTTGCTGCCATTTGATATTAACTGGCTATTTTGTCCTTTTGTTGATAAAAATTCTTCTTTATGTTAATGCTCTTTACTTTTTGGTGTATTTTTAGAAAGGATCATACTGGTTGTTCCTTTCTGTGTATAATGCTTCTTTTAGAAGTTCTTGTAAAGCAGGCCTGGTGGTAATAAAATCTCTGAGTACTTGCTTGTTCCTAAAAGATTTTATTTTTCCTTCAAATGTAAAGCTTAAATTGGCAGGATATGAAATTCTGGGCTGAAAGTTTTGTTCTTTAAGTATATTGAATATTGGCCCCCACTCTCTTCTAGCTTGTAGGGTTTCCGTTGAGAGATCTGCTGTAAGCCTAATAGGCTTACCTTTATGGGTAACTTGATCTTTCTCTCTGGCTGCCCTTAATATTTTCTCCTTCGTTTCGATCTTGGTGAATCTAACGATTATGTGTCTTGGGGTTGGTCTTCTTGAGGAATATCTTTGTGGTGGTCTCTGTATTGCCTGGGGTTGAATAGTGTTCTGCTTTGCTAAATTAGGAAAATTTTCCTGGATAATGTCCTGGAGAGTATTTTCCAGCTTGATTTAATTCTCTCCGTCACATTCAGGTACACCAATCAAGCGTATATTAGGTCTTTTCACATAGTCCCATATTGCTTGGAGACTTTGCTCATTCCTTTTTATCCTTTTTTCTCTATTCTTGTCTTGTCGTTTTGTTTCATTAAGTTGGTCTTCAACCTCTGATACCCTTTCTTCTGCTTGATCCATTCGGCTGTTTAAATTTATACATATTTCACTCAGTTCTCGTGTTGTATTTTTCAACTCCATAAGTTCATTTGTATTCCTCTCTATATTGTCTATTCTTTTCAACATTTCATCGAACCTTTTTTCCAAGTTCTTAGTTTCTTTACATTGGGTTAGAACAAGTTCCTTTAACTCCCAGAAGTTTCTTATCATCCACCTTTTAAAGCCTACTTCAGATAATGGAACACAGTCCTTTTCCATCAGGGCTTGTTCCGTTACTGATGAGTCCTCTTCCATCAGGGCTTGTTCGGTTGCTGATGAGTCCTTTTCCATCAGGGCTTGTTCGGTTGCTGATGAGTCCTTTTCCATCAGGGCTTGTTCCGTTGCTGATGAGTCCTTTTCCATCAGGGCTTGTTCCGTTGCTGATGAGTCCTTTTCCATCAGGGCTTGTTCGGTTGCTGATGAGTCCTTTTCCATCAGGGCTTGTTCCGTTGCTGGTGGGTTCTGATTTTGAGTATACTCGGCCTTCTTAGGCTGTTTTTTTCCCTTCATTATAGATGAACCGCCTTTCTAATTAGTTTTCTGAGTCAACGTCCGACTTACTGATTCCCAGTGCTGGGATCCGAGCAACCCACTGTGGCGGCCTAAATAGCAGCGATAAGACTGATTGTGCTCTTCTGCCCGGGAATCTCTGGTCTGGTTTCCCTCTTGAGTCCGCAACAAGCGGCTCTGACTTCCCGGAGCTCCAAACTCCGGTCAGTAGGGGAAGCAGTCCCGTTGGCTCTGCGTGAAGAGCTGCTGCGCCGAGACGCCGGCAAAACCGCTGCGGCGGCCACAAGAGTCACGCTGGCGACCCGTGGGGCTCCTCCACTGGGAATCGGCTAATCGGTGAGTGACGAAAATTCGTCTAAAGATGTGGCGTCGTCTCGTTCTCTGAGCTTTCACTGGGAGCTACAATCCTGAGCTGTTAGTGGTCGGCCATCTTGAATCGTGAGCCGCAGAAAATTACAGTTTAAACAGAATTACTGAGGAACTGTTTTCTTTTAAACTTGTCTGCCTCATGTTGGGGGTCTAAAGCATCCCTAATCAAAGAACAAATAGCAAAAGTATAAACTGGCATTATCTGAGGTCCCTCAGCGTGTACTTGTTATGTAACTGCTGTCCTACTCTTATCCAAGTAGCTAAACTACTGTGTCCTGTTCTGGAAACCACGGGCAAATCTGCTGCACAAAGTGTAGACAATTTTCTAGCTGCTCTTTATGTACACATCTTTTACCCTTAAGGAGGGCAAGCAGCACGTTCACATACAAAGAACTATCACTAGACAAAGAATTGCTCATGCTTAATGCAATTATTACATGCAGATTAAGGGGTGAATTATGCAGAAATTTCCCAGGCACGAGCAATCCTCCTGCCTCAGCCTGGCAACATGCTGGAATTACAGGTGCGAGTCACCATGCCCGGTCAAGAGTCTGATTTGTTTTTATTCTTTGTTAATTATGGCAGTTGGATTCTTGGTTTTGGTCAACAGATTGGTCAACTTCAGAGGAAAACAATTCGCTGGCTAAATATTTAGTAGTTTACAGGATGATGCAAAAACTGGAGAACGAGGCTCAGTCCATCATCATGAGAGGTAAAAAACATGGCCAAAGATTACCCCAGAAATGGCCCGCCTGGAATGCCACCACTGCTGCCAACACAACTGGGCCCTTGACCAGATTCTTCTCAGCTCTTTGCATTAGGAAGAGCAGTTAATTTCCACTCTTCTTGGATCTGGGGTCACTTTATGACTTGATCTGACCACTACAGTGCTGCAGAAGTAACCCTGTAAGGGCCGGGCGCAGTGACTCACACCTGTAATCCCAGCACTTTGGGAGGCCAAGGCAGGAGGATTGCTTAAGCCTAGGAGTTCAAGACCAGCCTGGCCAACATAGTGAGACCCCCTTTCTACAAAAACAAAAATTAAAATTAACTGGGTGTGGTGACATGCATTTGTAGTCCCAGCTACTCAGGATGCTGAGGTGGGAGGATCCCTTGAGCCCAGGATGTTGAGGCTGCAATAAGCCATGATTGTGCCACTGCGCTCCAGCCTGGGCAACAGAGCAAGCTCCTGTCTCAAACAAACAAACAAAAGGCCGGGGGCGGTGGCTCACACCTGTAATCCCAGCACTTTGGGAGGCCATGGCAGGTGGGTCATGAGATCAGGAGATCGAGACCAGTCAGGCAACATGGCAAAACCCCATCTCTACTAAAAATACAAAAATTATCCAAGTGCCTCTACTAAAAATACAAAAATGGTGCGCTCCTGTAGTCCCACCTACTCGGGAGGCTGAAGCAGAAGAATCACTTGAACCTGGGAGGCAGAGTTTGCAGTGAGCCAAGATTGTGCCACTGCACACCAGCTTGGGTGACAGAGCAAGACTCAGTCTAAAAAAAAAAAAAAAAAATTGGAATTGGAATTGGAATTGGAACTGAGACACCTAAAAGATAACTGGGAACCTCAAATGCTAAACCTGTGAAAAGCCAGGGTAGCAAAAAAAAAAAAGAAAGAAAAAACCTCACCCTCCAGCATGGGTGAACAAGGAGGCTTACTTACTTCTTTTATCTGAGTGGAAAAAGGGCCTCCCCAACAACTCAAAGTCTGAGTTTGCACTTGGCATGAAATTGAATCTAAACTTACACATTCTACATGATCCAGGGGACCAGGCAAATAAATTAATTCAAGTATTGCCCCTGAGACCTGGAAGGCATGTCTGGCCCATCCCTCCATCCCTCCCAGACACTGTGCTTGCAGGTAAGATGATCAGGCCAGGATTTTATTTAGTACCATACTGATCTCCATACAATTTCCTCTTGCCCTTTTCCCCCAAGAAATAGGACTTGTGTGGACTGGGCCAAGCAGCCCAGGTGGACAGTGAGCTTGTCCACCTGCTAGCTGATGGATGACTTCGATTTCTGCTTCTGCACTGGATGTGGGCAATATTTCCTTGGTCTGATTATCCTTCTCCCAGTGATAGAAACACTTTCCTTGCTATTCTGATCCAAATCCAAAGAGGGAGACCTGGTGGATGAGAGAGGGACAGGTGCCTCATCAGCAGGTGGACTCCTGTCCTTACCGCTGCCTCCCTTTACTCAGCACCTAGGATGACAGGCTGCCCCTTGGAGCTGGGAGGAGACTGGAGCTCCCCTCTTCCAGGAAACAGACTCTGGACATGGTGAGATAAACACACTCCTATAGTCACCTAGGAGCCCCAAAAAGAGAATGTCAACTAGCTTCTCTTCATGACAGTGGAGGAAGACAGAGGAACACCCCAGGACATAAGGGCGTTCCAGGCAAACGGAATGGAGCATGAGAAGGCATGGGGCAGCTCGTGTGTTTAGGGAATTCTAAGAGCCCATATGAAAGCCTGGGAGACAGGAGGCGAGGGGAGGGGTCAGAACATGTAGCTTTTTTTTGTTTTTTTTTTTGAGATGAAGTTTCACTCTTGCTGCACAGGCTGGAGTGCACTGGCGCAGTCTCAGCTCACGGCAACCTCCGCCTCCCGGGTTCAAGCGATTCTCCTGTCTCAACTTTCCAAGTAGCTGGGATTACAGGCACCCACTACCACGCCCGGCTAATGTTTGTATTTGTAGCAGAGACGGGGTTTCACCGTGTTGGCCAGGCTTGTCTCCAACTCCTGACCTCAGGCGATTCACTTGCCTTGGCCTCACAAAGTGTTAGGATTACAGGCGTGAGCCACTGTGCGTGGCCTAAATGTAGAGTCTTGAAAGCCAAGCAGAAAACTTTAGACTCCATGCTGAAGGCCTTGAGGAACAGGAATTTTAAGACAAGATACAAGAATCTTTCTTTCCTGGGCACAGTTGTGCAAGACATGGAACAGAGCCTTGGGCCCCAGGGATGACCCTCACCCTGGGGATGCAGCCAGTTTCCCTGGGGAGGAAGGGGGAGGGGACTGACCTGGGGCCCTTCCCCAGCAACCCACAGCCACATCCTACCCCTTCTCCTATCCCCCCTCACCATGTCTTTGCTATCTTCCACTCCACTAGGGAACTGGACCATCTTCCAAAATCTGAGAAAGAATTGGAGTGTGTTAACCTACCCTGTGTTAGCCTAATCAACTCATTCTGAATTGAAGGAGCTGGACAGACTCCATCTTAGCTTCTTCACTTATAGTTATTTTCCTTCCATTAAGTATGTAGCTGTAGTGTGTAGTTGGGGCAAGATGACACCAAGCACACACAGGAATGCATTTACCGATAAGACACCGAGTCAAGGGGTACCAGTAGCCCCTGGGAATGCAGGTGTTGCTAAGTACCCAGAGCCCCTATGTCTATAAGTTGTATGTCTTTTGTGACAGCTTAAGCCCCTGCACCTGGAACTGTTTACTTTTTTTTTTTTTTTTGAGACGGAGTTTCGCTCTTGTTACCCAGGCTGGAGTGCAATGGCATGATCTTGGCTCACCGCAACCTCTGCCTCCTGGGTTCAGGCAATTCTCCTGCCTCAGCCTCCTGAGTAGCTGGGATTACAGGCACGCGCCACCATGCCCAGCTAATTTTTTGTATTTTTAGTAAACACCGGGTTTCACCATGTTGACCAGGATGGTCTCGATCTCTTGACCTCATGATCCACCCGCCTCGGCCTCCCAAAGTGCTGGGATTACAGGCATGAGCCACTGTGCCCAGCAAACTGTTTTACTTTTTATGTACTAGTTTATCTTTTAACTTTTTGCTTGCTCTGCTTTTGTGAAAAATTGCTTAAGTTAGGTTCCCCGTCCCCTTCAAAACTAGGGTAAGAAAACCACCTAGGTCTTTCTTCCGGGCCGAGAGAATTTTGGGCATTAGCCATCTCTAGGTCACCAGCAATAAAGGACTCTCTACTGAGTCTCAGAGTGTGGCGCATTCCTTTACTCACTCGGGCACAAGAGGAGGTGGGGGAGTTTGGGCCCCAAGACCTGGGGAAGTCTTGCAAGTACCCCAGTAAGCCAATAGAGGGTCTTCCCAGAGTCCCTGCTGCCATTCCCTTCAGTGACCTCTCCTCACCCCCACACAGGGAATGTTTGGGGACCCCTCTTCCATCACCTCGTCACTCAGAGCATCTGAAGTCCACACCAGCTCCGAGAGCTTCTGCAGCAGCATCTGCAGCTGCATCCAGGAACCCTGGTCACTGGCATTCCTGGGATAGATGAAGCATTATGTGTGGTTTGGTTCCCCACTTCCATCTCAAAGCCCTGTACTGGGGCCCACTTCATCTTGGGAAGGGGAGCAGAAACTGATGGAACTGTGGGGCAGGGCTGGCTGGCCCTCCTGCTCCCGCACTCTCCCCCAGCACCCACCTGAAAACCACGGGGTATTGGTCGATGTCATTGCCAAGGCTGGAGCCCTGCAGGATCTGTGGGTGCCCCAACAGCACACAAGTCCCACAATAAAAATCAAAATGGTTCACCAAGAGCCTGGGAATCACTTTAAACAGATTCTTCCACAATTTCCCAAGCTTGCTCCCCAAGTTCATGCCCTGGAAACAGCAGGAGGAAGGAGACTGGGGGCTGGGCCCAGGGGACGGAAAACACAGCTGGGTGGGTAAGATCTCTATCCAGGGGCTGTGAAGACAGGGCTGAGGCCAGGGGGTTGGGCTGGGAAGAGGGAGATGGGTGAGGACTGGGAAGCACAGGGGATGGGACCGGGCCCAGTGTTGACCACTGACCAACCACCAGAGCACAGTGTCAGAGGTCATAGACTCCCTGGTCCTCATCAGGTAGCCCATGGTCTTCCTGGAGCACGCATCAAGCCAGTTCCATTCTGTGGCTGGGTGGGGGCAGGAGGAGCAGTTGAGGGTCTCAGAAGGGCAGCCAAACGTCCCAAAACTGAACCAGGGGCAGTTGCAATGCCGTGGAACCAAGTACATTCGTTTTTCCTGGGGTGCTGATTCAGGCGTCAGATCCAGATAGGGGGCCATCAGCCAGAGGATGAGCACCCAAAAGATCCACAGAACAAAAATCTGCCAGCGCTTCATGTCTGTCCCAGGCGGTGGCTCCGTGGCGGGCCCAAGACTGGCTTATCTACCTGGGTGAGGGGCTGAGGCCACGACAACACCAGCTTCCCTCTGTCCTGTCGGCCTCCACGCTCCCCATCCCAACACCCCTCACCTCCTTCCAACCCCTCCCTCCTCTCCTGCCTCACTATCCATTTGCTCACCCCCAAAAAGGACAACTGGGCATGGGAAGAGGCCAGGGCAGAGAGACAGCATGTGGTTAGCCCTGTGGAGGGAGGGAATACCTCTCAGTAGGGTCCTTGGTGTTCCCAGCTATAGGACAGATCTCATCACAAAGTACACATTGTGACCTCCCTCCTTTACCCTACCCTTTCTGACATCCCAACATCCTCCACTGGATGTAAGATGACCTAGTCTCTCTTCTTCGCCTCTGCAGCCCTAGGACTTAGAATCATTTAAAAAAAAAAAAAAAAGACTTAGAATCATTTAATAAATATTTATGGGATAAATAAACAGGGATTGAAAGGGAACTTTTTTTTTTTTGAGATGGAGTTTTTGCTCAGTCATCCAGGCTGGAGTGCAGTGGCGTGATCTCGGCTTACTGCAACTTCGCTTCCTGAGTTCAAGTGATTCTCATGCCTCATCCTCCCAAGTAGCTGGGATTACAAGCGTCTGCTTGGAGTCAGCTTAACGGAGCTATGTGCTCAGGGTCAGGGAAGAGAAGGAGGGACAAGGAAAGAAGCTAACATGGCGTCTGAACAGCTCTTGGCTAAGAAAGAGAGAGTCAGTTAGGCTAACAAAAGGTAGGTTATCACCCTCGCAGCTCTCCAGGACTGAAGGCCCTGAGCAGAGATTCATCCACATGTTTATTTGCTCTTTGACGGGTGATTCTTACTAATACACAGGTGTTCTAAAAATACACGTAACTCAAGAATATACCAAGTAGGCAGCTGTCACCTGCCTACCACTAATGACAAGCTACAAGGTATCCTCCACAGAGGAGCCGTGCGGGGCAGGGTAAACAATGTTTCTCAACATCTTCCCCCTTCTTTGTTTCACAAAGCTAGGTAAGCAAACACAGCTCTATCTTGGTGAACCATTTCTTGGAGGCTTCTGGATCCACACCTGCAGACTACACAAAGAGAAACAGAACAAATTAATAACATAATCATAACAGCAATCATAGATCCTCTAAGTGTTTGCATCCAAATTTTAGGGCGGCCAATCCATCAACAGCTTCCTCAAGCACTTCGGAATCTGACTGACTACCTACCTTACATATTTTCTTAAGGAGTTGGGACCCAGAAATCTTTTGGAAAATAGGGCAAAGGTCATTCTCCTGTAGCTAATTCCTGCTAAAAAGGAGCGTCGAGAGCTCTCTGGGTTCCCCCTCTGTGCTTGCTGTCCAAAGTCCTTTCCAGGTGCGGATTTATTCTCTCCTGATGATGTTCAGTCTCATACTTTTTAGAGTTCCTAAAGTTAACCTATAACTCTCCTACCACCAAAAGATATAGGGGGTTTAACATAGCTCTGAATCCAAAGAGCTTTTTTAAATTTCTTGTAAACTTCCAATGAATGAGAACTAGGGCCTGATTCTCTATTTTCCTCCCTGGACTTTTACTGGTTTTAGGGCCATAGGTATTTTTCAAAGTTTTTATCCAGCTCTTATCATTGGCCATATTATTTTTGGTTTTGCGGCTCTATTAATTCCCCATTTCTCCAGACAACAGAGTTGCTGATCTCAGTATCTATAAATTCTAAGTAATTGCAGTTCTTTGTCTGCCATCTGAATTCCATATTACTCCAAGAGGACTGACGGGTGCAATCATTGCTGAGTGTCCCCCAGGGGACCAATAACCAGTAATAATTCCGGAGGGATTGTGCAGCATCTCAGCTTCTATCAAAACAAAGTCTCTCCAGGTTAATGCTTTTAACTTAGGGGGCCATTCTTTATTTGCATTCAGGTTTTGAAGGCCAAAACATTGTTACTTTATTTCCTAAATTATTACAGAAAATACTAAGGCCAGAGATCAATAAAGGAAGGAAAGATGCCCAGTGTGTGAAACTTTCTTTTACTTTTTTTTTTTTTTTTTTAAGAGAGGGGGTCTCGCTATGTTGCCCAGGCTGGAGTGCAGTGACTATTCACAGGTGTGATCCCACTACTGATCTGCACGAGGGAGTTTTGACCTGCTCCGTTTCCCACCTGGGCCGGTTCATCCCTCCTTAGGCAACCTGGTGGTCCCCAGCTCCCGGGAGGTCACCATATTGATGCCAAACTTAGTGTGGGCACTCGATCAGCATAGTGCACTACAGCCCAGAACTCCTGGGCTCAAGAGATCCTTCAGCCTCAGCCTCCCAGATAGTGCTCACTTTAATCATGGTAACTGTCATCATGATTAGCATAATAGGCTGTCCTGATTTCTTCAGGTTTTCCTCCGCTTTTTGAGAAAGCTTCTTTCATCTGACCCCAAGTCAGTGGTGCTGTTTGGCGTGTTCCCGCCGTGGAAGCAGTACTCCACCTCCATGTTAGTCTTGCCAGCTCTGTGACTGGGGGTTTCCTCTGCAAGTCTCTTTTTTGGTATTTGGCTTATAGTACGGCTTTAAATGTCGGGAAGGTACCCACACGGGTTGTTGATTTGGACCTGCAGAAATAAAAGCAAATCCTCTCCCCCAGCTTATTACATTGCCTTTTTCCAATTCTTTGTGAGTGGGTCTCGCTGCCAGATTAATTGCCTTACAGTTTCTTCCTTGATTTGTTTGTTCAGGTGTTGTTCGGTAATTAAATTTTCTAAAGCCTCCAGTTTTTCTTTTTTTTTTTTTACTTTTTTTTTTTTCTTTGGAGAACGGGTTCTTGCTATATTGCCCAGGCAGGTCTTGAACTCCTGGGCTCAAGCTATCCTCCCGCCTCTGCCTCCCTAAGAGCAGGGATTACAGGCATGAGCCACAGAGCCCCGCCATGCCTCCAGTTTTTCTTTTGTTAGTGACCATTGTTTTATACATATAGGTTGGTTTGTTACCCGTTTCAAAGCGATAGGCTCTGGAGGCTTAACAGTGGCTGCCATCAAAATATATCCCAAGTCCTGGCAAGAATTTTGGCCTTTAATTTCTAAACATTCCCTCGGGCTCTGCAAGTTTTCTTCCAATCCCATCTTAGGCACAGAACTCTTGTCCTGCATCATTTGATGGTCTGGTGGGGCTACATGATTGTTCAGGTATTAAAACCTGAGCTCCCCATCTTGTACCCAAAGCAAGTTTAAAACAGAAGTGCCACACTCTTGAGTTTGCTGAGAGTCTGTTTAATGCCTGCTTCCGAGAGTCAGCTATTGCTCAAACCTCTCAGCCCAGATCAAAAGGCAGTCAACATTTTTATACCTTTTCAGGGTTGGGGGGGCGGAAAGCAAAATTGTTACAGAAGCAGAAAGAGCAGGTTAGGTGAGGGAGGGCCTAACAACAAAGATTCTATTTAAAGCTGTTTGTCAGGCAGGATGTGGGGTAGGCAGTTACACAGCTACAGGTACGGGATGTATGGGCCAGTGGGCCCTGTTTCTGAGAAAAACAGGTTACAAAATACCTGGTGTCTCAGGCTACAAAGTTTCAGGAACAAAGTGCTCTACATAGCTCAGGGTGATTCAAATGAGTTAACAGGATTGCTTAAAATGGAGTCACCATAGTTAAACTAGATTATCTCACCCATGGCTGCAACAAATCTCTTCCCCACAAGTTAATGGGGATTTGCATCACAATAGGCTGAGTGGTTCCAAGCTGTCCCTCGGGCTCTTCACAGGTTAAAATGTGACTACTTTGATATACTTCAAATATAGGCCTGCCCTACTCCAAGCACATTGAACTGAGCATTTTCCGCCAGCCAAGACAGTGGCCAATGTTAGAAAGAGGTACTAGAAATATCTGCTCCAGTATCCGCCAATCCTTTAAATTTCTTTCCTTGAATCGAAATCTCACATGTAGGATGTTTCCCAGTAATTTGATTTACCCAATGTGCTGCTGTGTCTTGTTTGTTTGTACCTCCACATCCTCTCGTTCTTTTTCATATGGTATAACTAAAAACTGCAATGCGTTCCCCAGGCTCAGCACTCCAGGGAATGGAAGACATTACAATTTGAATTTCCCCTATAAAGTCCACATCAGTAATTCCTGTATGAATTCTAACTCCTTCAACAGTAAGACTAGATCTTCCTAGAAGTAAACCCACAGTTCCAGGGGCAGAAGGCCACAAACTCCTGTAGATATGTTTTGTGGTGGCTCTCCCGGTAAAATGCTTACCCTTTGAGAGCTGCACAGATGCACTGCTGCGCTCCCAGCTGCGGTGGGGAACAAGCATTGCATAGGGAGTCGGGAACAGCTTGCAATGGATAGGCCCTGGTTTGGATCCAGGCCCGAGGTGGGCCTCTCAACCCATTTCCCAAAATCAGATCTATTGGAATTAGCCGGTAAGAAATAGCTATGATCTTCAATAATCCTAGCTCAAACGGAGACTCAGGCCCATACTGGCTGATGGCCTGTCTAAACTCCTTCAACAGTTTGAAGGGAAGGGGTTCAAAAGCAACCCGTACTTACCCCTGCTGATCTTAAGGGTGTACAACAACTGGAAATTGCTATGCCTCCAAATCTCCCTCTTTTCTCACTTGTTTAATTCTGGCCTGGATGAAACCAGTTACTGTAATTCTAGGAATACAAACGCCTCAAATGGTTACCGCAGTTCTAGGAACACAACCGCCAACAGAAGTACAGGTAGAAATATCGGGGAGGACCAGGTCATCCCTAGACAACACACTGAGGGGGGGCGCTGACAGGCACAACTTTTCCTCATTTGACTTTTCATCTTTTTTGCTCTATAATTTCTTTACATTATCACACTTCTCTCCTTAATCTCCTGAATCATCTTCCTCCTCCTTGTTCTGAAACAGCTACAGGGCAAAACACACCAAAGCCCAAACAGACCACACCAAATACACCCCGTGTTTACTTGGTTTTTGTCCCATGTTACCCCAGTATGACCGAGCTCCCCTAGCTGCCGCCCTGGAAGATTTTTTCAAATGTTCTTGGACTAATCCGGAGCTCCCCCAGCTAACCCTGGGAGTTTTTCTCTAATGTTCTTGGCCTAACCCCAGGCTCTCCCTAACTCACCTGGGAGTCTCCTCCAGGTCCTCCAGGCTCCCTCTAATTCACCTGGGGGATTTTTTTTAAAAAACATTCCCGGGATTCCTTCCAAGCTCCCCAGTTTGCCCCAGGTATTCTTTCCAAAGGTACTTGGGATACCTTCAGCTTAGCCTCTCCTGTCTTTGTTGCTCTGGCAACTCTTCATAACTCTTCGTCCTGGGTTGGAGTCCCCATGTAACCGGATGGCGGGACAACAGGGGCTCAGCGCCCTCCCCGTGCTCAACAAACATGTAACTGCGTGTGTCCAGGTTCTTGGGCTCACTCCCTCTGGAGTGATTGATCTTTGACTCTGATTGATTGCTTGTGCCCACAACAGAGCTCCTCCTCCCAGGGCCTTTGGTGGGCTTTCTGAACAAAAGAAGCTCACCTGGAATTTCTACCTTGTTCAGGAGTGATGAAGTTAGACAAAGAACTTTACATTTGAAACTTCTCTGATCTCTGATAGTGGGTGGATGGAGGTATGGTGCTGGGAAATTCCTCCCTATGAAACGCAGGCAATTTTCCTTAACACAGTCCCTCAGTCCCCGCTTTGAACAGGAAAGTCCAACTGCTATTGGGACACGGGCCTCGCTCACTCTTCAACTACTTCCTGCTGAATTGGGGTTTCAGAAGGGGCCCTGCAGTTGAGGTTTCCTCCAGAGGGGAGTCTTCCAGGGGTGCAGGTTGATCTAGAGGTTCACAATGGAACTTATGAGCCAGGGACATCCAGGGTTCCATTTGCAGGATTTGTGGCCTTATGGCTTTAACTCTAGAAGAAACAAATTTGATAAGAAGGTTAAAGATGAGAGACCTGAAGGCCAGCAATAATAGAATGGTTATACACGGGCCTAGGAGAGGATAGAGCCAGGACAGCCAGTTGTCGAGCAAGCTCCACCATACTGTTTATTGGGAGTCTTAAGCCCCGTGTTTGATTCGGTCCCTGAGTTCTTTAAGACAATACCCGATTGGTTTATAAAGTAGCTGCATTCTTTTCCTAGAAAGAGACACATTCCGGCCAGGAGTGGTGGCTCATGCCTATAATCCCAGCACTTTGGGAGGCCGAGGTGGGTGGATCATGAGGTCAGGAGATCAAGACCATCCTGGCCAACATGGTGAAACTCCATCTCTTAAAAAAAAAAAAAAAAAAAAAGACATGTTCCTGCTTTCTCTGCTGTTAGCAGATTTAGGGCTCTTCTATTTTGAAGAGCTATGGCAGATAAACAGTTAAGTTGCTTCTGCAAAGTGGGCTGCCTCTGCAGAGAGAATTATCAACCTTTTCCATGTTATTATTTAACTCCCGAGACAGCTTATGGTA